ACATTGTATTCATTATTAGTTTACACTACTGCGTCTATAAATTACATAGTACTAAATCAGTATGTTAAATAAATATTTAATTCCTCAGAACGATTTGATTTCTCATCTGTCATCCTGCTTCTTTTTTCTCTTTTTTCTACAGGAGGAGCAGGAGACCAGCTACACAATCCTCCGTGCTCGAGGTTGTAATGTGACCCTGAATGGTTTGAAGCCCAACACTGCCTACTTGCTTCAAATCAGAGCCCGTACCGCAGCAGGATATGGAGCCAGCAGCCCCACTTTCCAGTTCGAGACCAGCCCTGACTGTAAGCTCAGTAGAGATTAAAATGAAATTAAATTATATGATAGTCCATTAGCCTTTTACATACAATTTTTTATTTTGAATTGTGGGGTTATGAAACCTCTCTGGCAGGATGTGTGTATGTTAATTTTTTTGTGAAGACCTTATGTCCAGTTGTGTAGCAGCTGTTTCAAACATGTTCGCTGACAAGAACAATTTTCTTTCCTTTCTTGCTGTTGGTGAAATTTAGATATTCATGCAGTAACTTTGGCAGAATTTCAGAAGTGAATTCAACCATCACATTTTTTATTGCAGCAAACATGCAAGTGCTTTGGGGAAAATGTGAAAATACTGCCCAAGATTTTTGCTTTACTTTGTGTCTGTTACACGCCTAAGTTGTTTCATTTAGCTGTTACTGTTCCATGGGATAAAAGCTGTGAAAGCACATTATTGTTTATATCAATTTTGCTGCCAAATATGTGTAAGTGTCTCTAGAGTGAGCTGAATCACCTTTACCTGCTCTTGTGGGAACTAAATACAATATCTTATTGAATCAAAGGTATATTTATTCTTGATGTGCATGCAGTACGTTGGAATAGGACTAGCAGGTAATTGAAGTTTGTATTGTGATGTGCTGTAATGTTAACAAAACAAAGTTAGCAGTGCTTATTACTTGTTTCTTTCTGTCTTTCAGCAGCCTTCTCTATCTCAAGTGAAAGCAGCCAGGTTGTTTTGATTGCCATTTCTTCTGCCGTAGCCATCATCCTGCTCACTGTGCTTCTCTACGTCCTGATTAGCAGGTTTGTCCACCAATCACTTGCCTGGATTCTCGCCTTGAGCATTGTCTCCTTTAGTCACACCATCTGTACTCTCTCCTTTCAGTTGATTCTGTGTGCACTTTTCCAAAATGTACTTTCAAAAGCTTAGAAGAAACAAGTTAAATGATGTGCCATAAAAGAGGGCAAATTAAAAAACACCAGTTAATAACCAAAGGAACTTTTACCGCTGTGGTTTACAAGGTGTTTTAACCTTGTTGATGATTCCTTGTAATTGTAATGCTATCATTATTCATTAAATATTTGAGAACGTGTTCTAAATTTGTTCAAAGAAGTTCTTTTTAGAACAGCTTCGTCAGCTTTCTCAGGAAGTACACATTCTGATAGCCTGTATGGTCCTTTAAAGTCCAGATCTATACACACTTCAGCTGAAGTTGCTCTTGGCTTAGTTGCCACTCAATCAAAAAACATGAGCATCTTCAATAAATGGAATCTTTTCAGTGCGTTCATGCACAACACGGGCGTTTGAATGCCAATGTGAGCGCGGCTGAAGTTGGTGGTCAGCAGGTTTCAGGAAAGAGTATAAATCCACATCACATTATAAGACTTACTGATACTCTTTTGGGTTATAAGAGCCAGAAGTATATACACACGCCTTGAGGCGACTTATGTTGTGATTTGGCGCTATATAAATAAAATTGAATTGAATTGAATTGAATAAGTATGCACACATGGATCTTGGTAGCGTTTGGGCTGGGCTTGTGGGCGAATTTTTATTGAAGATGTGGCACTACTTCTGGTCTTTCTCTGTTTGCATTGGCAGGTTTTGTTGCCGGAGCAAATCCAAACATCCTGATGAAAAAAGACTGCATTTTGGCAATGGACACTGTAAGTACTGGACTTTGTTTATCTGAGAATTGGCTCTGTCTCTCCTTGCCGTACTTTACTAGTCACTGAATACAGATAGAACTAGCTAGTTACATAAAAGATAATTTGAGGGATGTTATTTGAATATGCATGTCCTTCTGAGAACCTTTTGACCAATAGCGGTTGTTTTAGAGTAGATATGTCAAAGCTTGAAGTGGATTTCCCCTTTAAGTTTAGATATATCTTTGTTTTTTCATACGAGAAGACAATAATCAAACAAAACCATGTTATGACCATGTTTTTGGCCCATTTAGAAACAAGTACTTGAGGCTTCATTTAAAAGGAGAACAAAATAACACTGTTTTCCAAACCAGCCAAGTGAAGTGGCTAAATCTGCGCTTTAGTTTCTACTTTCCAAATAAAAAAGTTTCTTGATATTACTTCTACTATTAGAGTCAGTACTAAATAAATAGTAATTTAATTTTCTTTTCATGCTACTTCCTCATCCCTTTATTCCTTGTTTCTTCTCTCTTTCTGTCTTTACGAGATGTTATTTATTTGAAATAGTCCTACCTTTAAATTTGACCTAGGCTTCTAGAATTCCTCAGGGTACTGAAGAGTATCTGCCCACTGCTTCATGAGTAGTTTGGATGGGTCAAACCCAGAGCATAAATTTTAACACACAGGGACTACTAAAATACAGCTGTGTTACATATCTTCCCTTTGTTTTCAAGTTTATCATAAAATAAAACATATCTCTGAAACATAGTGTTTCTTAAACTTGATGTGTTATGAAGGGTATAATTCCTCTTTTTGTTATTGTTCCTCCATCAAATCTCAATAAGAGAGACTCTCTGGGGAAAGAGAAAAGAGGGAATTGTAAAAAAAACCTCTTTCCATTAAAACAGCTAAAAGTGTCTTCATATCCATTTGATAAGTGACTGTTGCTTTAATGCATAATATATTAAGTGAGAAAATCTCAGCCCTGCCTGCTCCTTGAGGGAAATTCTTCACTAAAATTCAATCATTGAAATACTCAGGACTATATCGTCTTCATGGTTTTGGTTTCATTGTGCAGGGTTAGTTGGATCTTTTGCCACCCTGTGTGTTTCCTAGACTCCTCTGAAAGTGCAATTTTACTGTAAGCTGTGCTATTTTGGAGTTTTTAACTAGTTGGTAACCAATGCAACTTTCCTGTGCTGCTGCAGTGCGTCTGCCAGGGATCAGAACCTATGTGGACCCCCACACATATGAGGACCCGAGCCAGGCTGTGCACGAATTTGCCAAGGAACTGGATGCCTCCTGCATTGCCATAGATAAAGTGGTGGGAGCAGGTGAGAATAGGCAAAGGAAAGTGTATGGCCAGATGCTGCTGCTTGTATAGATTCCATATAGGTTTGGCAACTTTGCAAAAAATTCATGTCATTTCTAATATTTTCAAAACAATAATCAAAATGAGCTTGGTGGGATACATAAAAAAAGGGAAATCAAAAAAGACTTTTCCCACTTTCGTATCAGTTACTTCCTTTTACTTTTGCACTCTTTCATGCTCTATTTAAATGACAAAGACAAACCAAGTGCACAACCACTTTAAGGAAAATGGAGTATATACAGAGCTCCTATACATCTATATTTTCATAGCAGTGAGCTAGTTATCTATGCGTCATGCTGCACAGCCGGGAATGAGAAAGCATTCTGTGCCCCAGCTTGATGTCTCTTCTTTCCAGCCCTCACCTAGGATGGAGGGAAAGGTGGTGAAATGAGAAAACCTTCAGTTGGTTCATGTCTCCTTTAACCCTTTCTTTCCTTCTTTTATTTTTCTTTCCATTTTCCGTAGCTTATGCTCCAGTTCGTAACTCCCGATGTACAGTAATTGCAATAGTAATTGAAGCCTTGTCTCCTCTTTTCCTCTCCACTCATGTACTCCCTGATAACTTGAGCAGGAGTGCAGACGGGAGGGTAATGCATTATGATTCATGTCGAGTGCAGTCAGAATAGATGGAGACTAAAGCACACAGCACATAACAGCAGACTGGTCTCCAGAGTCCCACCGGCCCTTCACACTGTAAAACTGTCAGGACAGCCTGAGAGTCTATTACCTGAGTATACACTGGACTCACACTCTGCAGTGCTAACCACAATATATTTTTCATACATAGCAGACACAAAGCACAATGATTTTCACAGGGCTGCAATGGTACATAGGAGATAACTGTTTATATATTAAAACCACATATAAAAAACAAAATCAGCTGTTCTCTTTTAATATAATAAAAAATGTGGTACACATTTGTCCACAGTTCACTGTGGCTGTCATTTTGATTTTACACAAGCATGAACTTCTTCAAATCTGCATGACCATTTGCAAGAAATGCACACAAACTAATGTCCATACTTCATTTAATATTATTAAATACATGCAATTTGATGTTTGAGGCATGAAAAGTGAAACAGCAGTGAAACATAATCTATCGAAAATGCAAATAGATGAAGAGTAGCTCCAATTTATCATCATTCTAAACCAGTATTAGCTGACTAATACCTTAACCCATAGTCGATTTACAGCAGAAAAGTCTATACTGTACTATACATTTTTAATGTGTACAGTGCACAGCTGATTCAAAGTGTATTTATTTTAGTGTTCTTCCATAGTAACACAAAGAAGGGAGAGTGCAACTTTGAGAACAAGTTCTGGACAATATAAATAAAATGACAAGTTGACAGGGTGATTACTTTTGAAAAGCAACTTAGTAGTTCAGAGCAGTTTAATTTTAGAAAGATGGACAGAAAATCCCTGAAAGATTTTTCAGATAAAAGCCAGAAACCTTATATGAGAAAACCATAAATTTACAGATCCAAATGTGAGATGAGAGGAGAAGAAAGGGGACTTTGGCCTGCTCTTGCTAATCTATTTTAACTTCATAAAATGTGAACCGAACACCAGAGGTGAACATTAAAGCTCCAGCCATGATGTAAACATTTTTGTCCGTCAGCTTCAATGCACCCTGCCACCCATCTGTGTGATTTTTATAAAGCCACATAAGCACTCTGAACAATATACAACATACCTTCTCTTTCTCCATTCCTGCCTCAACTCCATCTGTCTTCATTAAACACGTTAAAGGGACTTTGATCCTCTTGCCAATCGGTGATTGTGTGTTAAAAGACATGAAACACATGCTCCACTCTGCTTACATGGGTTAGACTTTAACATCAAAGTGAGATACCTAGCTCTACTCATAACAGGAAAGGAACGAGTGTCCCTAATCAAGCCTTATTAGACGAAGATCTTCTTTCTCTGAGTGACCACATAAAAAGGTGCCTTGGCTTGACTTGCCTGTCCACTGCTCAGGACAAGAGGTGCAAAGCAGAGAAGGAAAGAACAGGGATGGTCTGGGTATTTAGACAGGTTATAATTATTCAGGCTTAAGTCCTTCCAGATGCCATTGCTTCAAGTCCAGGATTTGACCCATGCTCTCTGATCCAGAGCAGCTATGGGACATGATTGTACTAGATGAAGAGTGAGATCTGCATATCTTAGTTCTGACATCACCATTCTTGAGCACACTCAGCATGCATGTACGTTCTGTTCAAACACCTACTTACATTCAGTACACACACACACACACACATACACACACATATATATATACACACACATATACACACACCCCTCATCTTCTGCAGTCCAGCCAAAACTCTGTCTCCAGGACTGCCTTTGAAGTGGCCAGCATACCTACAAAACTTACAGTACCTTCTGGATAGCTCCCCATTGCATGCACATACTTACAAGTAGTAACTGAAATTCATGCATCCCCTCACCAGCGAAGAATGCTAATTGAGCTCTCCCCGAGTGGATGTTAAGTAATTTTGTGTTTTAATTCGACATATAAATGAAGCTGAAAAGTTGTATTGGTGTCTATTCACTTTGTTATTTTGGCTATGGGTACACGCTATGCATTAATCAGGAAATGCTGTTTTTTGTCCAACATCAACCAAAGCATTTCCTGATTAATTGGAGTTAAGTTATTACAGATGGAAATTTTAAGATCCTTCATGATCTGCAGCTTTGTCTGAATGAATCACTGACAGGCAGCTGTAAAAATCACATGTTGTAACACCTTAAAACACATCTGAACCCCTGTTGTACATCAGAGCAGTCAGGATTTTCTGACTCATGCTATGCTAGATGCTGGGCTCTCAGTGGTGAAGCTGACCTAGCCGTAGGTTTAAGGAGTATCAGCATGCAACCTGTCTTTGTGGTTTTACTGCTGATCATGTACTCTGGTACAAGAGAGCTAGTTAAGTTAGCCATATTCACTCCAAAATGCTTTTCATGGCAATGTCATAGACATCATACATAAAACTTGCCTTTATTTTATCTTTAGGTGAATTTGGAGAAGTCTGCAGTGGTCGCCTGAAGTTGCCCAGCAAAAAGGAGATCTGCGTGGCCATCAAAACTCTCAAAGGTGGATATACAGACAAACAGAGGCGGGACTTCCTTTCTGAGGCATCAATCATGGGACAGTTTGACCACCCTAACATCATCAGGCTGGAGGGGGTGGTAACACGCAGTAAGTTCCACGACAAACTGAAGAGAATTGAATTACCAGGTGCTATTTTGATAATTATATGTTACTCTGGTTCTTGGAGAATATTAATCTATGAAGCACTTACTTTTTCAGAAGCATGATGTTTCAGAGAACACAACAATTTTTAGTCACATTCCATAAGAGAGCAGGCTTCTCCTGAGAGTCTTTTTACCGATTCCGGATTTGCAGTTGTCTTTGACAAATGGCTCTAAAGTGGCCGACACTTCTGTGAAAGAGCAAAGGAGTTTTATTGAGTTGCCGTGGTGTAAATCTCTGCAGATCAATGTGCTCTGATCAAAGCCTGTGTCCAAAGCAGGCATAAATCCATAAATCCATATCTCTGACTAGCTTCCCTCTGGGCCTCTTTATAAGACTATCATTAGCACACAGAAGGCCTCTTTAAAATGGAATGACTGCAGAAAAGGGAAATAATGAGTCTGAACTTTGTCGCAAAGAAACAGTCCTGGCCTCTATATTTCCCTGCGGCACTTGGCTTGTTAAGTAGTTCTGCCAGTATTGTTATTCTAAAGAGTAGAATAAAATACCAAGTGAACTTGCCTTCTCTTTATTATTCTGGATTTTAGGTTCTTCTGTTCCGTCTCATTTGTTCTTTGCTTCCTCGTCTCCACCTTGTCTTACATCAACTTGTTTTACCTGCTTCCCTAACTTATCTTCTTAGCAACTTACTGCCTTGACTTGTAATCAAAAACAGCCCAGTCTTACAATGTAATGTAATTTCCAAACAGCAATGAACTGGGCATGTAAACCATATTGTTCTGATTATGCTTCATCTCTACAAAGAAGGAAGGAAAAAAAGAAAAAAGAAGGGAAGGAAAGGAGGGATGGAAGGAATGAAGGATGGAAGGAAAGTAGAAAAAAGAAAGGAGGGATGGAATGCCAAAAGAAACAAAGGAAGCAAGGAAAGAATGATAGAAGGCAGGAAACAGTAGGGAAGGAGAGAAGCAAAAAAGAAGTTAAGAAAGGAACAAGAGAAGGAACAAAGGGAGAAAGAAAGTAGTGACAGTAGAATCAAATAAATAAATAAACAAACAATAGAAAGGATGGAAGGAAGGGAGGAAGGATGGAAAAATTGAAAAACACAAAGAAATAACACAAAGGAAGCAGGAAGGAAGGAGGGATGAAGGACAAAACAATAGAAGGAAGACATAACAACACCAGTTAATATCTTATAACATATCATTTTGAGTCAACAGTGGCACAAATTATGCTACTAAACTGTCACTTATGCAGTTTTTGTAGGAGAAACTTGTTAAACATGCTAATACGCATGTATTTGTAAAATAATGTCAGTAAATAAGGTCAAATAATAGAAAACAGTAACCAGAACAACAGAAGCTAATCATACTCCTTCATCCAGTTTTGTCTCTTTTAGAATAATTTTTCAGTTAGAACGTACGGCATGGTTCTGCACTGTACTGATGAATGAAATCAGTCCACTCTGAAAGTGAAAGTCTGTGTGTGTGTGTGCATGTGTGTGATCCCTCATCACACATTGTTTGCCTAATACATCTTAAACCACTCTTCCTGTTAATGTCCGACCTGTGAGAAATGCTGCAATAACACAAGACTGCGGTTTCATTTGCTGGTTTGAGACTAATAGGGGAGGCCCCAAATTCACTACTTCGCACATGACATTTGGAGAGATGCCCTGAGCACATGTGCATAAGTAGGAGCAGCATGAGTGCAGGGCATAGTTTTAGGAGGTCCATTTGATATGCTCCCACACACAGACACACACCTACACACACACAAACACACACACAAATGCACGCTGCTGTCGGGTGATTTATTAAGCTGCTCCTGTTAATTCTTAATAATCCTGAGACTTTCACACCCCATTTACCTTGCTGCTGCTTTTGGCTGATCCACAGGCTGCATATTTGCAGGAGCACACACACACACGCGCACACATGCACACTTCTTGCTCAAGTTCATACATCCACACTTGCACACATACAAGTACACTCACACTTGGGTCCGCAGAACAAAGGGGCTTGGGGGCCTTTATCTTTGTTGCCAATGTTGAAAGTAGAGAGAAAGAGGGGAAAGGAAGGGGCGGAGGACAGGAGGGAGGACCGGGTGCGTGCATGCCCGTCTGCAACTATAAAAGCAGTTCTCTGTTAAACTGAACAATCCATCACAGCCTTTTTGGGACAGGGTGTGGGTGGAGGGTGTTGTACTGGTCCTGTGACGGTGTTTAAATGATGAGAGATTTTTGCTAAGTGAAATTGGTGCAACTTTCCTGAGACATGCTGTTCTGTGAGTTTAATCTCCCCCTTTTTTTAAAGAAGGTTTATTTTTATTTTGTCAACGTCACATTTTTAGCTACGCTTACTCTGGTAAGATGTAAATAAACAGAATCAGTTGAAATAGATTCAAAATCTTTCAGAGTCATTTCAAGCTGAAATTGACAACATCTGTTTTGTTTAAATGTGCTGTGATAAAGAAAATGAATTACCAGTGCAATGCAGATTCATGAAACAGCCCTTTTCTTAAAATTTCCATTGAGTTTAATAGATTTGCTTCTTTTCGCAACTAATTCCATCACCCTCTCCCTTCAGCCTGCGCGATTCCTGAAAAAAAGTCCCTTTCTTTCCAGATGTGGGGTTGGTTCACATTAATACATGCAAGAGGGATGGAGATGAGAGGGAGGGATGGGGTGATGGGGAAAGAGAGGCAGGTTTGATAGAGAAAAGGTAGGTCAGGAATGAAAGAGGAGGGAGCAGGGCACATTAATCAGAATAAAAAATGGAAAAGAAGAATATGGCTGGTGGTAAGTCAAGAGTGAAGCTGAGAGAACAAAGCCATCTGGGGCACAAACAAGTCCTGACACGGATGCTGTTCATTTAACCATGGCTGATTTAAAGCTTTCTTAAAGAGTTTTTCCCCCCTTTCCCCCCTCTGTAATAAACTTTGTGCTGGCCACAGTCTGATCAGGTACAGATGATAGCAGGCAGCATGGATTTACAGCCAGATCTTCCACAGAAATAAAGATGTCACACTCTGACAGGTGACCTGCTGGGACCCTAAAACTATGACTAGGATCATTTCATTCTGGTGTGTGTGGGCGTGTGTGTATGTAGGCGTGCATGTGAGTGTAACTGAGAGAAAAGAGAGTACGTTCAGCCTGGTCACTCTCAGGGTCTGTGTACGTCTGTTTAATGTCGAAGTACAGCTCTTAATGTCCACTCATTATTATTTTTGCTTGTTTCAGAGAATAAATCTAAAATCAATACAATACTGGCACAAAAGAGGGTTTTCTTTCGTTGTTTTTTTTATATAAGTATTCAGGATGTTATTGCACTAAATTTTTTTAGTCCTGTTGCTGGTATGATATGGGAATTTATTGAAATCTTCCTGTTGTAGGTAAACCTGTCATGATCGTCACCGAGTACATGGAAAATGGATCTCTTGACAGCTTCTTAAGAGTGAGTAATAATTAAAAACACACTTATGGAATTTTAATGCACTGAAAACCCAAACCAGTTTTGCAATGAACGATTAATGGCTAGTTGAAAATTAAGAAACATTCAATGTCAGCTTTGTCATAGGTTCTTATTTTATAATTTATGTAAGTATTATTTATATTTTATATATGAAACGAATTAGGACAGTCAGCTAATATAGTAAGTTTTAACACTACACTATAACACATTGCACTGTATACACTATAAAGTACCTGAGATATGCTGGTTTTAGCAGATTTCTTTCAGCTGTACTCTTCTTACACCTTGTCAGCGAACAAAATATTTTGAACTGCTCTTTCAGCCAGGACTGAATGTGATTCTTGCCATGCCTCAGTCTCTTACAGAGAAATTGACCTGCCTTACTGAAATTAGCCAAAGCACGGCAGCCAAGCCGCAACACTGGCATGAAAGCATGTGTACTAATGCCTGTTTTAGCCTTTTTCCACATGCGTCTGCAACACACATAGACAAATCCAGGACGTGTAGCTGTTGTCTGCCGACGTTTTGACAGAGGCCTGCACTTCATCATTGAAAATGTGTCATAAACACACAAGCACGCACACGGAAATTCATAGCTTTGCGCTTTAGCTTATGTCTGTGTTATGAATCTACAAAGCTTTGAAGTGACTAAACCAGGTGTCCTGGCCACTAATGGTTCAAAATGAAGTGGAAGGTCTGGTTGGTTTTTAGAGAAAAACATACTTATCATACACTCAGAATAAGCCATTTCATGTGAAAATAAATCTTTATCAATGTAAACAGACAAGCCATACTAGCTAAAACGAGCCTAATGAAAGCCTATTGATAGATAGTTTAGATAGATAGGTGGTGGTCAGAGGGCCCGGTGTCCGGCAGCCTCGCCTCTGTCAGTGCGCCCCAGGGCAGCTGTGGCTACATGTAGCTTGCCATCACCAGTGTGTGAATGTGTGTGTGAATGGGTGAATGGCTGAATGTAGTGTGAAGCGCTTTGGGGTCTTAGGGACTGAGTAAAGCGCTATACAAATGCAGGCCATTTACCATAGTTTTGAACGAAAAATGTAAAAGTTACTTCAAAAACTGTGACCATGCAAAATTTACATAACTTGCAGTTACTTGGAAGAGATGATTATTTAAATTGAATTTATAGAGAAGACTGGACGATTGCCTTAAACAGACAACACAGACACATAAACCATAGGATAAGAGTATTTATGCTCAAATTCTGAATGGAATGAATTTGACAATGCAGGGCAACAGAAGATACAAAGAGCAGCAAGAACAGACAAAATGAAAGCGCTATGGATAATGAGCACAAAAAAAAAATTCATATGGCTCTCCTCATGTTTCCTCAGTTCATATTTATCTCATATTCAGATAGTAGCAGCAGATCATAGAACATATATGCCTAGTTATGAACTCTTGCCAGTTTGAATCAGTGTAAACACCGCTGCTTGCCAATGCAAACAATAAAATGTGCTTTGTGTTTACATCTCACCCACTATATGTTTGACTGCTGCAACTCAACACCTGGCAAACATTTGGCTATAAAAATCCATTGGATAATGTGCCATGGAAATGCATTATATCCCTTTTTTCCACATGATATGATTTTCTGATGAATATACAGCATTCAAATATATATATGTGGATGCCAGTGTTCATATTGTCTATGTGTGTCATCACATATGTAGCGTATGAAAACTGCTCCACAATAACAGCAGTGATTTATTTAAAAAAGAAATTCATTTTTATGGTCTAATCCTTATTTCCATACATTACTCTGTATTTGGCTCTGGGATTTCATAGTTGAAACGAAAGATGAGGTACATAATGTCAAAGGTGATTTTTAAAGGTTAATGAAAATCTTGTGGACAGTAATGCAGAAAAGTTTCATTTTATGCAAATACCCCAAAAGGTCAGATTCCCTTTGTGTACTATATAATGTATGTTAACGTGTAACATAAAGGGAAAAGCACGCTTTTCTTTCTATAATTATTTCTTTTATCTCCCTTTTTAGAAACATGATGCCCAGTTCACAGGAATCCAGTTGGTTGGCATGCTGCGCGGTATTGCTTCAGGCATGAAGTATCTGTCAGACATGGGTTACGTTCATAGAGACTTGGCCGCTCGAAACATTTTGGTCAACAGCAATCTGGTGTGTAAAGTGTCAGACTTTGGCTTGTCCCGGGTGCTGGAGGATGACCCGGAGGCTGCTTACACAACTAGGGTGAGTTGGAATACAAATACAAATAAAACATTTAAAGACAACACTGTTTTACATCAATTCTATATATATCCTCTCCAGCAAAAATAATCCCCCCACCAAAAAGCAACACACTCCATCCTCTTCCGGTCTTTGTCTTTGTTTTTGTCATCACACATACACAGATACTGTGCACCTGTTCCCCTCACATATCACAGCAAGGGTGAACGACACATAAAAAACTAGTTGTTAAAGGGCAGACATAAATCCACATATCCTAAACTGGAAGGTCATAGGGAAGACCATTAAAGCCCCATGTGCCATAAGACGATGCGTCTCATTGAGAAGAATATTGTTGGGCTTTGCCACTGTCATTTGCTTTCATGATGTATATGACAGAGGTTTTTACTTCTTAGATTGAACTTTTTTCAGATAACTCTTTGAGGTATCCTGCATAATCTGTTGGTGCAACAATGGCAGGAACTGCCTCTTGAGGCTGCTAGCTAGTAGAGAAGGCATCTACTGACCAGATCTATTGGGCTGATTACAACTTATAAAAGCCGTTTGACAGGCTAATAAATTCTGAATTGGTTGCTTTTTGGTGATACGCAGAAGTTGATAAAGTTCATCCTTTAGGAGGAAAAGCACCGATACTTTCACAAAGTATCATGTCTCGCTTTTAGAGGCATAGGCACACATGCCAAGAAGACAATTTCAGACATTTACAGTGCTTCTTACGATGATGGAAAATCTGTGTTTCAACTTACCTTGGAAATCCACTTAGGATACTTCCCATAACAATGTAATAATAGCACATAGGCAATGGAAAATTAGTATTATGAGAAAGATCATAAAAATGGAATCCTACAGATGGTCTCCCAGTAAGTTTGGGCAATTCAATTTTTCAGAAAGAAGTGTATGCATGTAATTAGATTTGCACACCTGTGGTGAGAGAAGCTCTAATTGCTCTGTTTGTGTCTTTGCATCTCTACATCCTGAAGAAGCATAACCTGGTATGCATTCATGTATTTTTAATGTCATTAGCCCTGTGAAATAAAGGCCCTTGATTGCTTTTTCAAACCTACCTTGAGTACCAGAACCTGGATGTTTTATGCCATTTATTGATTTATTGATTTCTTTCCACCATTTCCATTAAAGTTAAAAAAGAAAAAATATTGTAAAAGCATTTTTTATTTGCCTTAGCATTAGATGCTCAAATTGAAACAAACCCAGTAGGCAAATTATGATCCAGACACTGATCTTAACCGTTGGAAGTGTGTGCGTGTGTGGCCATTCTCAACTGAGGAATCTGTGGTCTTAACCATGCGTGCAGCCTTTTAGACAGAGTATAATTTTCTGGCTGAGAATGGCTTGTCAAATAAACAGTCAATGTGCCGTTTGCCTTTCTCCCAGAAATTCATAATCTGAAATAATGAGACAGAATAATAAACTCTGCCGCATTAAAGTAACTGACAATGCTAGCACATGTGGGCTTCAGTGGATTTTTTTCTCTCCACTTCTTTAGTCATTGTTTTTTAGGAAAAAATCAAAAGTTTGTGGTCGTATGTGCATGTTTACATGCATGTGCGTCCCACGTTTAAGGGTATTTCTGCACATTTTAGACTTTAATATCTTTGTGCAGCAACGTGTATAGTATAAGTGCAAGAGCAGAGTGTATTTTCTTGTTTGTGTTTCTTTGTAAACTGCTTTATGTGTGCCGCCATTTGTTGGCTGTCTGCATTTCATTCTCACATACATTCCCCATTATTTCCATAACTTCAGTATGGAAATAGTAATAGAGGAATGTAAAGTTTAGAGTGTGACTGCACAGCATTGGGCAAAACCCAACTGATTGGGCCAAGGTTTCTGTTAACTTTGGCTACCATCAGCCTCCTACCCTATGATCCATTTTGTTCATCTGTCTTGATTTTTAGCTAAAATGACAAATACAGCTACACACTGTAGTATGGGGTTATCCAGGACACCTTGGATTACAATTTGATGAATGGGTTTTTCTTTCTGGCTTTAACTTTCTTTAAGACTGATGATAATCCATTTTGATTAAATCTTAATATAATGTGTTTTGTTACAATAAAGTTCAATGTCCCCTTATGTGACAATTTTAAAGTCTTTTTTAGAAGTCTTAGACTTTTTTTTTTGCCAGTCTGGGAAAACAAATTAATTAAAGACAATGAAATGAAAGTGAAAGGTAAAAAAAAAGCTTATGGTTCACCTTTCTGTGATGAAACATGGACTTTAGACTCTTCCAGACCAGACTGGAAAAAATAATAAAAATATTATTTTTACAATTGTTACAGTTTTGAATCTGAAGCTGTGATCTCAAACCTTAAATCCAAACCACAAAGACCACCAGGATTTAGGGGTTTCAGAACAGCCTAAATAATATTCATAAGAAATATTCTTGCATTGGACACAAACCTGCACCTCAGATCCAAATCCTGGTTTTCAGAAATTTTGCTCAAGAATACATCCAGTTTTAAATATTTATATCCACGAGCAGTACTAAACTTTGAAATTCTATTTTAAAAAAGTTTTTAAAGATTTTAAGATGTAATATTAAAAGGTTTATCCAAAAAAAACCATAATTTTAGGTAGAAAATTAGTTATGCTCAAGAATTATTGATGTTTTTCAATGACAGATTGAATGACTGAAATACAAAATGAGCTCAATGAATGACCTCTCATTGTCTGTATTTCAGGGAGGTAAAATCCCTATTCGGTGGACTGCTCCAGAGGCTATCGCCTACAGGAAGTTTACATCTGCCAGTGATGCTTGGAGTTATGGCATTGTGCTATGGGAGGTGATGTCATATGGGGAACGACCATACTGGGAGATGTCCAATCAGGATGTAAGTTCTATTTATTTGCAAAGTTGCATTCCTTTAATAGCTACACATGCACATCTGCAGGGCTACCACCTTTGCACATCTGAATAATTTCTGTATCTCATCTGAGATACAGAAAGACATACTCTAGTAAAGTATTCTTACAAAACTGAGAAAAAAATCACTTACTATTACAATGTATTTTGTTTTGAATATTATCTGCCTTTTTTCAAATGCTGTCCGTGTTGTTCCTCATAAAGGTAATAAAGGCTGTAGATGAAGGTTACCGACTGCCCCCACCCATGGACTGCCCTGCCACTCTCTACCAGCTCATGTTGGACTGCTGGCAAAAAGAGAGGAACAATCGGCCCAAGTTTGAGCAGATAGTTAGCATCCTGGATAAACTCATCCGCAACCCCAGTAGCCTCAAAATCACAGCGAACACCACATCCAGGTATCAAAGCCATCTTACGTGTATTTGTTTTCATTATTATTTTTAGGTGCTTGTCACTTGCATATATAAAACTTTACACTTAAGAAAATACGAAAAGAAAAACCCAGAACTGGTGGTCAAAACCATGCAAGGCTGGTGAATGTCTCTTAGTCTTGAATGGTTTCTAAGTTGTTCTTTTTTTCTCTTCTTCTTTTAATTTTATTGCCATGTACTAGACAATCCAGTACTGTATTTTAGGTCATATAAAGTTCTGGCTGGTGATCACTAGACATATTATCAGCATATTTATGAAAGTTCTACTTCTCAATAACATAATTTAAAATTTTTAATGTCATGAAAATTTGGGATGGGGAAGTTTCTTTCACTCGTTTTACCACCTGTACACAAAGGAGCTCAATATAAACACCGCCTATTTCTTCTGCTTGTAAGATTTAAATGCAAATTAGCACCACTAGAAAATGTATCAGATCTCTTTTCTGATATTTTCACAAATGTTATCTTATTTGTTTCTCACATTACTTTCTTTTTTGCCCTTGTTAATGCTTTGTTCCTTGCCTTTATTGAATCAGTCATTTTCTCCCAGGGGTGTGTGAGTAAGCAGGGCAACATACACTTGTCAGTCCTGGGCAAGAAGGAATACAGGCATTGGGTCTGCAGCAGACGGCCATGGTATTATGTAGATGTCAAAGCTAGTAACATTGACTAATGATTTCTTAAGAAAGTGAAAATAGGTCCCTTGGAGTTTGCATGTAATTTTCCTGATTGGCTTTTAACACTGGGTGAGCACAGGCTGGCCGACAGAGGCTGGTGCGTTGATTTATGAGAACTCTCTGTGCGTATGTGTGTATGTGTGTGGTGGCGGCGGCAGTTGCACAGCGGGAGCAGCTGCACTCAGCTCCACACACCTCGTTTGTCTCAGGGCTGTCCTGGCTTGCTAATGCAATACCCCCTCCTCCACAAAGCCCAGAACAAAGCCTGTGAACCAAGTAGAGCATCTGGAAACTTCGAGGGTGGGACCTGGTCAGTTTACTCTTCCTGCATATGGATGATGAGAGAGTCAGAAGGCCAAGGTTGACTGTCAGGGGCTAATTATGGGCCAACTGGTGTCCAGTAGAGGTTAGCAGCCATTGTGTATCTGACTTAACTTTCAGGGTGTCTAAATTACGCGAGATTACACGGGCATTTATCACAGAGAGGTATATGTTGATGAGAATATCTAAAAAGTCACAAGTATGAAAAACTGGATAGAAGTTAAATAGAATAGTTTTATAATGAGCAATACTTCAATTCAGTTACCAAAAATTCTTAAACTGTTAGCTCAGACACTACCAAAACTTCAGAGTGAAAATAAATTGAACAAAGAATTCGGAGCACAGTCACGTATCGTTGCTGAAATCAAATCAAAATGTCGGTTTAGCTTTCCTCAGCCCACCAGAGTACTGGTTAAAACTACATGATATCATCCAATTTGGCAGTGGCAGCAAAGGGCTGCAACTGAAAGGGCTAATATTACCCCTAAATATCAGTCTAAACTGTCCTTGAATTGCCTTGGAGCTGTCACGCTGAAAGGTAATTTCATTCCCTTTTTTGTGAGCTCAAAAATCAGAAGATTATTTGGAGATTAAAACAAGGAGAACTACAGAACAAAAGATGAAAAAAGGGAATATATAACCCGACTCCCTTTCTCTCTGATGTAGTCATCTATATTTTCAAGTGGGTGTTTTCTGCTTAGCTATATAGTATTAAGTAGACATTAC